GAGGAGAATTTGTGAGGTAATGATAACTGTTCATGGTTCCGATATAAGGAGTATAACCGCAACTAGGTATTATATAAGCCTAGGAGTTCCAAGTGGGAAAATAAATTTCAATTGGATGGGAAAGAATATAATATATTATATTCCTAGTTAAAACCGCTAATAGAACCGCTATGTAAGTTATATATTAAACAATTTTTTTTAATTGCTTATTCTAAGAAAGCTAATGTAATTTAAAATTAAAGGTGTCTAATAACGCAAGTTGACTGGATAACTGATGTCATGACGACGAAGAAAAACGACCGTTATCTTTGCACATAGTTAGGGAACCCAGGAGGGTTCTTACGCAATTATACTTGCGTCTAATGTTTGTTTGTTAAAAACATTCATTTTTTCTTATTAAACCAAAATTTTTGTTATAATTTTATTTTTTTAATAACTTTTATAAAGACATTTCTAAATTAATTGTATTTGAACAAAAGTGAGGCATTTATTTTTACAATAAATGTAAAATTTTTCTGTTAAATTAAAAGTTCTTGAATTTTTTTGCTTACTCTCGATTCACAAGAGATGGGAGTTCGAGTAATATTATAAAAACGTAGTGTGAAAAGAAAAAGGAAGGTAGAGAGGTATTGTATAAATATTAATCTTAATTAATCTGAATTAATCTTTTTATGGAACTTATAGTTTGTGCTGAGATAAATATCTCATGTCCATTTGTAATTTAAGGGTCTCTCTTAATTTTTACGCCACCTTTAAAAAGAAGATGCCTTATGTTAAGGTCTTGAAATCTGGCTATATTGACCTATATTAGAAATGAAATAAAACAAAAAAGATATGTTTATTTTTAGTATAAAATTACTCGTTTTGTTGATATTTGTTCATATTTTATTTTTAAAATCCATCGTAATGGTATTTTGTATTATTTTTCTTGTAGTTGTAATTTAACGGCAGTCATGCCGGAAGTATCTATTTACCTTAATAGAAACTTTTGTATTTGGTAGAGAGGTTGTGAAAAGTAGTAAAGTAGTAAACTACAGCAACATAAATTTATATTATATTATTTTAAATTAATTGAATTTTTGGCTGACGATACAGCTATATCGAGTATTGCCAAATACTCATCATCAGTAGTCTTGGAATTATTTCTTGTATTTAATTATTCGTAAATAATTTTTTGAAACTTTAAATATCAAGGGTTGAACTCGTACCCTGCTAAATTTGAAGCTCAGAGTCAGCGTTAAAATATTATTTTTTTTAAACTTCAAAAGAATTATTATTTCAAACGAATTGCATTCATGCCTTTAGATAAACGTAGCATACATCTCAGTCTTTTATTTTTTGAAATGTCTTAGAACTGTCAGATATTTTGGGCTACAAAAAGTAAGGAAATGGAGATTTGATTGAAAAATGTGTAAGGCAGACAGTTTTAAACAAGTTTAATTAGGAATACATTCTTCTAAAACCAAGAAGTCAATATTTTATTCAAATTTTGATGTACGCTTTACCACCTACATTGAGAATATTGGATAGCAACTTAAGAAGGCGCACCCTCTGATGAATGTCAAGTAGTTAAAATAAGTGAGTGATTCTGGATTCGAGCTACAACAGATCTATGTAGTCGGTAGTGTCTAATTAAGACAATAATCGTGTTTAATACAATACATGATGTTGCTTGTATATCTATTAAGTATGGTGTTATAGTCACTCCACAAATAAATGGCGATATAGTGTTCTTTCTAATATTTTCTCAATTTGATTATAAAAATAATTCATATGCATTTTTTAATTTTTAATTTTTTTTTAATAAGTGAAATGATTAATTTGAAAAGGTTAACGTGGAATAAGAATCGAAGACAAAGATTCTTTGTCAAAAAGTTTATTCCGAAAATAATTCCTTTGTCAATTCATTAATATTTGGAAAGTCTTGTGAGGACAAAAAGCTAAATGTCATGATAACGTCGAAATAAATTAAATCGATTTGCTTCGAAAATAACACAAATCCAATCAAATCGATAACAAAGGCAATTAAACTGCATCGCTGACGATGGTTACCAAATGAATTTTCATTCTTATTTTTAGAAGCGTGCGTCAGCGTTTTCAATGCTGAGAATAATAATTTTACAGGTGCGGCTTTGCGGCTTTCCTTCGCCAGAAGTCAGAAGTCATTGTTACCAAAACCTATCAATGCAATTGGATTCAAAAAAATTAAAATCAGCTTGGCTGATAGTTTAAATGAAGTTATGAAAAATTTCTATATGAATTAACAGCTATTTTATTTACGAATAAATTGATAAGGTATACATACGAGTACCGTGGAATAAATGAATAAAAAACAAATAAGTTTGGAAATTAATGGATGCAAGTTTATATTGTAATAATGCAATATAAACTCTAATACACTTAAATTCCCTTGCCCTTAAATTATATCAGATATTTATATATCATATATATGATTGAATCTAGATATTTGTCATAAGTGTAATACCATTGATGAGTATTTATTAGCAATCATGACGTATTTATACTCGTATATATATGTTTCCGCATAATCGTTATTAAGTGAAAATCCTATGAAAGAAATCAACTATGCTTGTACAAAATTAAGTTGCCCATACTTCATATCTAGGCTACCTGAGGCAACTTGGCATCTTTTATGTTACCCTCACATATTTTTTTAAACCATATTTTATAAATATACCATAAGACATTTTCAATTTAATTATTTTATTTAATTATGAAACTATTTTTATTTTTAATTTATTTAATAAATAATTTTTTTTTTCAAAATATACATCACATACTATTTTATAAATAAAGTGCTAATGGTTTTTATAGAATAGCCGCTCATATAATGAACTCCATAAATTAAAGATTATTTGCATTGAATAATTGTTTTATTGACCTAATGAAATCACTCTAATAATCATATATTTTATCTATTTACTCAATTCTTCAATTCTTCTTCAAAATATATTTCTTCTTACAACTGATCAATTCCTCAAGACTAAAACTTTTATTCCTCATAGCTGCCATAAGACAATTCAATCGTTGATATTATATATTTTGGTATAAGCGGTATAGCTTTTGATTTTATCAATTCTAATTTGGCTGAAAGTTTCTCAAGAGCCAAACCGGAGGTGATAAAGTCAATTTTTATCGCAATCTATTCTAATGTAAAAAAATGATCTATGTGTAAATCATATATATGTTTTTTGTTCAACCTGATAAGATTAATTATTTTAACAATAGCTACATATTTTTCTGTTAGCCTGTCTATCTAACCACCAATCTATATATCGGTTTGTCTTATCTCCTTTGATGCAGGATTAAATATCAGACATCGTGTTTTTCTATCTCCTTTTCCTTTACGTATCCAGTACCCTTCTCTCGAATTGATTCTTACTTATGTATTTACTTAGAAAAATAAAAATAAAGAAAAAAATAAAAATAATAAATTGTATAAAATTATTTTTCTATATTTCTATATATTATAAATATATTTTATATATTCCTATATTTTTTATATGTGTACATCCATGGAAACACTTAACAACACTTTATTTCCATAAATACGAGTGTTAGATGAAAAATGTATGCATACTTTTAGGCCTTTAAATAATTTTTGTGACAATATTTTATACCAAATTAAATGTATTGAGTGAAATTATTGATGTGATGAACTGTTATTATATAGTGGAATATTTAAATTATGAATAAAAAACTACTTTTCGTACAAAGGAAATGTTTTTTGATTTAATTATACATTTTAATATTATTATATATAAAATAAAACAAAAATTAATGAATTTTTACGAGAAGAATAAAGTAATATGTATATTTATTTTAATGATTTTTTTTTAGAAATAGTAAATATTGATTAAAAAAGTTTAATCAAATTTATATATACACCTTATATACTATAACCCAATTTGACAACATAACTAATATGTTTATTGCTAACATTGTTGATGATACGTAATACCATCTTTGAAAGTTACGACTCCCCATTCTATATAAAAACTATATCTTGTGCTACTAATAACAACTAATTTTCGAAATTCAACAACTAAGGGCTGAAACATCCGGCCCTATAAAAAACTAACTAGTATATTTATTTTTCATACTCTAAATATATTTCAATTTAATGTCGCATCGGAAAAAGTTTTGGATTGAGTCTTAACATAACACACCTATATTGCTCTAATAAGAAGGCAATTTAGAATAAAATATTCTAAATTTTGTCAAATATAACATAAATGCCAATATCTTGTACTTAATACAAGTAGAGAGAGAATAATAAAAGTTTTGCACATCTACTTTGTTATTGTCCATCGCATACGTGAACCATTTACCGTTTTAAGGATCTTGGTCAGCGCCGTGACATCTCTCTAAAGAGCATTTTAGGCTTTGCGAAAGGTTCAAGCTTATTTTCAAGTCTTTGAGTTCTTTTAAGGTAATAGAATGCGCACTTAGGTTAATGAACCCTTAGAATCGCCGGTATAACCTAATCTAATATCGCTAAAATGGTGTATATATATACTCATTATTTTATTACTCTATACAACCACGTGCCCGAAAAAATCCTCCATAGAGCATATCACTAACACTTATTTTAATCCTTAACCTACTTAATCTAACCACTTTCTCACACCTTTATACATGATTAAAATAAGTTTATCTATGTAAATATGAAGATTTTTTCACCTCCTTGATAACTGAAATGGAATTTTGATTATTAGAGAAGCGGATACTTGAATCTGTGTGTCATTGCGTTCTTAAAGAACGCCCGCTATGTGTGGGTCTTACAATGAGGCTGTCAATAGTTTTATCCGACACACCAAAAAGTAAAGTAAATAAAATAAGTAAAATAAAATGCACTACAAAATAGTTGAAAAAGATTTCATAAATTATAGCTTAGACTATATAATTTCAAACTTTATTTATTTTACATAACATTACTTAACATAAAAAAATTTGTTCATTAATTAATAATATTATTTAGTAAGATAATTAATATTAATTAATTTAATTTCCGGTTATTAGGGCAATTTTGTAGATTCACGTCGAATTTTTTTTTGTACTGCTTGCAAAAGGCTTTATCAAAATTGAACCTATATTGATCTTGATCCCAAGGGTCGAAATTCTAAAATAAAATAAAAAAATAATTTAATATTAAATTTGAACACAAAAATATAATATATATAATAACAAATATGATATAAACTTAACACAAAGAAACAAATAAATAATAATATTTGTTTCATCTTGAATGTTGGATAGGATAACTGTGACAATTAGTCAGTAGACCATAGAATTCGAAGTCAGAAAAAAAACTTAGTACCTAAAACAGATTAACTCGAATTATTTAGTTTTATCGGTGAATCTAGAAAGATTGGGTAGAGGGGACGGTAGGAATGGACCATCATTGAAACATGTTGGATCTGTGGTAATATCTGCAGCAGTCGTGTGATGCCCAGCAGTTTTGTACCCTATGATTACTTCAAGCAGAGAAATTTTATAAGTATATATTCGGATTCTTTAAGAGAAAAACTTTTTTTCTTACAAATTTCTATTTTGGTATATCTTCCTTTTTAACTGATATAATAGACCCAACAAAGGAATTGTATAAAGCTGACACAGAAATACAATGAATATGCATGAATATTTAAAATCTGAAATGCTATCAATTTCTACCCACATTAGTGGATGTGGGATGATATTCAATTTACAATAGCTTTAAAGTTTCATTCCGGAATTCTTAAAATTTTATGATCTATTACTTTTCAATTGACAGAATTAATAAATTTTAAGCAGACATTAAGGACTATTTAGTCATATAAATATCAACATTTCTCTTTAAAGAAATTCAATGTTTCCTGGGAATGACAACCTACACTAACCGTTGTTTCCATTATTATTTCGTATGCTATGCTTGCCACACTATTTTGTCTTCCAGATGAAACAATGGATATGACAAATATACCTTAATTATTTCTGCCAGTTTAATGGAAAAAAAAAGTTTTCTAGGCATTCTAATCACAAAGTGTTCAGTGCTGGTCAAAGATATATAAAATATTTGATAAATTTCAAAACTTTTTCATCAACTACCGTACAGCCCGCTTGTCAGACCATGCCCCCGTTAACGTAACGACACACACGAACCACAGGTTTGTTAAAATCCAAAATGCCATTTATTCTTTTTCTATTCAATATATATACCATTAAATTCCAAAAACAGTTACTCTATTAAACACACAAACTGCAAAATCATTAGAATGCAAAACGTTTCTCGTTCTTTTTCTGTTTAATATATACCATAAGTATTTAGAGACAGTCACTCTATTAACCATACGAACTGTAGTTTCGCTATAATTCAGAACATCCTTGGTTCTTATTTTATCTAATGAATGGCATATAGTCATATAAACCGTTAGTACGTTAATAAATACACGAATTATAACTTCGCTGAAATTTAAATCTTTATTTATTTTTCGAATTAATATAGTTCATATAGTTCCAGAGGTCATTAGCCTTCCTTTAAACATAGCAACTATATATTAACTAACATTCAGAAGATCTCTCGTTCTTTTCCTATCTAATATCATGTAGTCTTTGAGCTGATTAGAACTCAATTCAGTACACGAAGAACAGGTTTACGGAAATCTAAAATAAGTTTTATTCTTTTTCTATCAAATATAGGACTTATAGATCACATAGCCATGAAGACCCTTAGTATTCTATTAAGCATACGAGCTTTCATATTTAAGGTATGCCATAAGCGATTTGCCATTGTTATATATATTCATAAATGATTCGAACATCAGGGTATTAGCCTTATTTATGTCCATTTCGAAGTTATCTTCGAATGAATCTTAAGCAATAATTTTGATTCAGTAATTGTACTCCATATGTATATGTCTATAGTAATATTATATTAATTGTTAATCTTTATTACAATTGTGTAGTATTACAAATTATTAAACGTTTAGTAAATTGAAACATTTAACGTTTATTGTTATAATAATAATATTGCATTTCAGAAATTAATAAATATTTTGTAAAAAAATGGAAAATATAGAATAAATTACAATATCAACGCTTTGTCAGCTATTATTCATGACGTCACACCTTTGTACAAAAAGCTATTTAATTAAACAATATCGAATCGTTTATTTAAAAAGATTCACATCATTAACATTTTTAGTTGGAAATAATTTTTATCTTATCTCTATAATTATCGTATATAATATTGTTTAAATTTCGTGCATTATTTTGTTGTTCTAACAAAAGCACATTTGGGGATTAATTACGAGTAGAAACGGTTAATTATTATATTTAATTTAATCCAAACTGTGTTTTACCGGTTGTGAATAACAAAAAATTAATTATTCTTAATTTGCGAGTAATTTTAATTTCTGTTTTATTATTTAAAATCATTTTAAAATTAAATCATATTCATATTTCAACTTATATTATATTAAGAGAATAAAAAAATTAAATAATTAAATAATTTTAATCAAGAGAATGAGGAAGAGTTATTTGAAGAAAAATGCAACAATAATTTTTGAAATAATTAGTATGAAGAGAATAATCGTATAGTGAATCACTATGTTTATATATAAATAAATAAATATATAAATAAATAAATATATAAATAAATAAATATATAAATAAAATAAGGTTGAATTGGCGTTCTTGCACACTAAAGATAACATAAGTGCAAAGACTGATCTGTTGTGATAATATGGATAAAACGATGTTCATATGATAGAGGAAGAGGACCACAAAGACAGATGTAAAGATGTCAGACAACGTCGAAGAAAAAAGGTACGACTCTCCCATTTACATAAAAATAAACCAATCTGAATAGTCTATATCCTGAATTATTCTTCTAATTTTGAAAAGTAATAGTTCTGTCAGATGAGTGAGAAAAGGAACTCAAAAGATATTAAAAATCTTACTGGCTAAAAATCGAAACTAATAAGCATAGCGGAAAAAGTTACCATAGGTTTTATACAATTAAATATATTCTCTTTATGTAAGAATTTACAGTGCTCCGGTATATAGGATACACAGAACTATACCATATTTTTTCTATTATTTGATAATACTTTGTCCAATGAATTTATGATAACGGATAACAAACACTTAACACTTATAATAACCAATGTTAATATATAATAAAAATAATATTACTACTCACATTATCGAATGCAATTGATGGAACAAAAGTCAAATCAATCAGATCTGTCATATCGCCGTACTTCTTCAAAATGTCGGGTGTGGAACGTGTGGCTTTACAAGTTTTTGCCTTACTCACATCGATTTTTAGCTTTTCGGCGCACTAGAATTTTATTTAAATTATTTTTTAACTTTTCTATAGATTTTAACTTTAAATCATTTTTAAATAAAATAATTCTAAAGCAGTTATTTTTAACGAATAGTACTTACAACATCAATATTATGGTTGTTATATCTTAATAAACAATTGATCAAATCCAATTGCTCTTTAGGGGAGTTATTCTCAACTATACAGGCGTGAAGTGCATTTAATTCACACTCTGTCTCTCCATGTTGGCAATATAGTATCGTTACATTTGTAGTAGGATTAGTCCAAGACTAAAAAGAATTAATTATATTTTTTTAATTTTTAACTTATTAAATTTCGAAATTATTTTATGAACTTACAGATACTTTACCGTAAGGTATAAATTTCAAATCCGTAAATTCCAATCGGCCATTTTCCTTCATAGAATTATAAAATTCCGTACATATAAAACGTATACTATCTGGGCAAAGGGTTTCATAGTAAACTTGCACCATTAATTGGTTTTCAGCCTACGAATTTAATATTAAATAATAAATATTATAATTACATTTTTCGTTAATTTAAAAATTAAAAATTAAAAAATTAAAAAAAGTTGGAATATTGCTATAAAAAAACAATTGAAACTATTTCTATATAATCTAAGATGTGGTAGATCTTAAATTATTTTAAGTCTGACGACAAACCAACTATAGGCTGACGATTGTAGGCAACTCTAGCTTGATAAGTAAAAAACTATAAATAATATAAATATATAAATATGTATATATATAAATATATAAATATGTATATATATAAATATATATTTATAAATATATGTACTTGTGAATGAGTAATGAAGACGTCAAAAATCTTATCAAAAACGCTAGACGCTACAAAAGGAATGAATCTTAGATATTTATCGGCATATCCTTAAAAAGAATTGACTACCTTTTGTATATTGGCAAATTCTATCAACCTATAGTTTGAAAATAAAAAAATTTTTTTTATGTACTATATCATAAGAAATATATCTGCATCTATGTTGTTCTAATCGTAACCCGCTAGAATCATGAATAGATAGCATAAAAGGTTTTACAAGACGAATACATGTGTTAGGGTGTGGATAATTGGTGGTAAGAAGGTTGGGAATAAGGAAAAGGGATGTATTGGAGTGAGGGTGCACCTAGGTCTAGACGGAGAAACAAAGATTCGTCCAACGATAGTATGAACGAAGGTTTATGTGTAGTTGGCCATGAGAACAGATGGGCGACGTCACGGGTGATGGTAGTGTTGCAGTTTCAGCACACATTAGGAATGGACGTGTTTATCTACATCCATAAGTACAGATGTATGTGACTTTTATTAACTCCGAAATTTCGGAAAAAAATCGTTGATAGGTTCAAAAATAATGTTTTGAAGGTTGTACGGATAAAATGCTTTCCGAAAATATTCTAACTCACATAGATAAAAGCCTAACTCTAAAAACAAGAAAACCATTTACAATGACAAATTTCTGATTTCTTTTAAAATATAGAAAATAATTCTGTGGTATGATTTTTAATTTTTTCACTAATTTTTTTATTTGTAGGCCTACAACAGTGATTCTCCATATACCATAGTTTCTGTGCTCTTCAATATCCGCAAAGATCCCTTTTATAAATAATGTAAATGATAAAAAGATATTTAAGAAACAATTCTTTTGACTCGATTTTCTTAAATCGACTTTTCACTTCTTAGATAAATTAGTAGGACCATAAATCCTCTCTTTACCAGAAATAAATCAAGGGTAGTTTAGTTAAAATAATAAATAAAATATACCAATCTTAAATCGGCTCGATATAACTTCTAGATCACCAAATTTTAAATTTTTACTGTTCATAATTTATTTTTTAAGAATTATTGGTATATATACAAATATTGTCACAAGTGTCTTGGGTAAAACAAACCTTAATACCACTTTTGGTAAACATCACTTTTTCAAACTAAACCATTTGAATAACTGTGAACCCAGGGTCGGGTCTATACATTCAACTAATGATATGATATGAGAAGAAGTTCTCTTTCACATCTGTAATATTGATTAGATTAATGCAATTTATTTTTGGATTTCCCCCAATATTCCCCAATAAGTTTTCAAGCACTCATTTAAGTATCTTACATTGACACCACAATTTCCGATTAATCCTAATATCAAGCAAAAGCTTGATAACATCACTCGCAGTATGGACTTCGTTGAACTCATTTTGGAAACGAAATTATTTAACAAATTATTTAGTTTAACAAAAAATTTGATGAAATAAATTCTACTTCAGTTTATGTGAATAAATTATTTAATTAATCGTTTTATTTTAATTAGACAGACAAGAAATTCTTATCACGGCACGTTCCTGAACTTTAGAGCGCGACACTCGAATACAAACTGACTTCAGAGTTTGGTATGTCGTAAATATAAAGACACTTTTGCTATTTGCCTTATATTTCTTGTTGGTCGTTGTCCGATTGCTGTTTATTTTTATTTCTGATCTCCATTGTTTCAAGCAATTGAGACGAGCACTACCGCATAATTTGCATTCGACTTCTCACATATGGGATCGCACAGATGGCGAAGTGCGAGTATGTACAACGCGAGCAGTAAGCGGTAATGTATGTGATTAGCTCTCATGAGCGGTGCGCTTAGTGGTGATCTGATTGTTAGGCTAGTGCAATTTGGTTTAACTCGAGCACATATGTTTCACGCTGTTATTATCTATTTTATTTTTAGTTGTAAAAAACGTGAGTATCTCTACTTTTCCATTGATGCATGCTATGTAAATGTCGCGTGTAATAAAAGCATCCATGATTCTGAACAATTTCAGTACACATTTAGCTCATAATTTGGTCTTCTACAGAATCGAGTAAAGTGGCTTAATGACTAAAAGAATACTTAAGAGAATAATGAAGTACACTACTGGCAAAGTCAAATAAGTTTAAAGATATTAATTCAATAAAATCAGAATATTATAATTCAAATTTCAAAAATTGAGGTGTATCCATTAGTGAAGTTCCTGATCGGAAATTTAGGATTATTTGAATAACATGAATAGTATAAAAATAAAAAGCATATTGGCTTTCAACAAAGCATAGCACGAATTGTGGTGGATCTTATATGCTAATACTGACCCTAACTAAAGAGAACACACTCGAGCCTTTGAATGAAGTTTAAAATATCAACCGTTGAGAATTTCCTAATATCACATGAAGATAGAAAGTCCACATCTAGTATTCGCTTGGCGTTCCAGACCAAAGTTAAACAGCCACAAATAATATGTTTATGAAACTTATCTGAATGTAAGCTGAGAGTACTTCTTGCCTTCTTAAATATATTGACATTGTTGTGATTGTTAAATAGGTGATATATTTGCGAAAAATATTATTTTATTTTGAAATGAAACTAAAAACCGTTCTCTTATTGTTATAGGCTTACTTTAACGAAAAGACATGTCTTTTAAACGGAGCTCTATTCGTTTCAAAAACCTGAATCCTCTACCACATCGTCCCGGGTAATCCCTGAAGCAAGTATTACTTCCGTTTCTAAATTTAAATAGGTTTTTGGGATTCAGATACCCTTCTCAAAATTGACTCTACATAATTATAATAATAAAAAGATCAGTTTCTCCTGGCCTTCCCTAGCTTCCCTACTCGCATTAAATCCAGTACTAACATTTATAACCCTTCTGCTTCCTAACATTAGCGGGTTAGCTATTACACTTAACAAAGTCTCAGCAGTTGAAAACACTATACATGTCAATTCTTTTGGAGCTCTGCCCTTCATTTGATTTTGCTTTCGATTTTAAAAATTTTTGTATTTTTTGAAAAGTTTCTTTTTGTTTATGAAATTTTATAAAATATATAATACATTGTGACCGAAAAGTTTCCGGAAATTTTAAATAAAACGCAAAATTCTTAATCTTCATCAATATTTATTTTATCTCCTTCAAAATATGCCCATTAGAAGCGATACCAAAATGCCAACGTTTCTTCAATCATCAAAACATTTATAGGCGCTTTCCGGTATGGCTTTGAGTTCCCTCTGCGAATTCTGTTTTACGTCTTCTATGGATTCAAAACGCGTTCCTCTGAGTGGTAATTTGAGGTTGGGAAACAGGAAAAAGTCACACGGTGCAAGATCAGGTGAATACGGTGGCTGTTCGATGGTATTTATTGAATGTTTGGCCTTAAAATCGTTGATAATGTTGGAACAAATTGAGGTGAATCGGAACAAGCCGAGCGTTGACACGTCGCATACACAAATTGTCCACCAAAATCAAACGAGCCATCTCACGACCGATGCCTAGCTCTCGTGCTATCTCTCTAACACTCACATGAGGATTTTGGAACACGATTTCCTTTGCCTTTTCAATGTTTTCGTCGGTGGTAGAGGTCGAAGGTCGTCCAGAACGCGGCATGTCTTCGACGGTCGTACGACCGTCCTGAAAGGCTTTGTACCACTCATAAACTTGAGTTTTCGATAAAACTGATTCCCCATAAGCCTTTTGTAGCATTCGCAAAGATTCTGCACACGAAATTTCGTTCGAAACACAAAATTTGATGCAAACTCTTTGTTCAATATTTTTTTCCATTGTTTTTTTCGCAACGCACTACTGAGGTGAACTGGTTTAAACAGCTGCCGTAAACGAACTGTCTGACAGATCGCGCTCATTTTTGGCATAGTAATTGTCCTTAATTGCTGCCAAACTACATAAACTTAAAATATCGAAAAATATACAGCGCGCGAATTTTAAATGAGAATTTCCGAAAACTTTTCGGTCACAATGTATATTGTAACTAATTTATAACTATTAAAAGTTTACCTTTTATGCACAAACGTTTATAATTTCAAAAACATTACTCACTAACTTTTTTTACTTAATTCAATATATTATATTGATCTATGTTATAACTTCTATATATTACTGTGTTCAGACAACGAAATTACCTTAATTTCGTTAAAATGAAATTAAGTAAGTTTGGAAACTGTTCACTAGTGGAGAGCTGCTATAAACCTACACTACATGGAACATCGTCATCTGTTCCAAGACCATTTTGAAAATTTGTAAATAAATCCTTATACATTCAAATGACGATATTTAATTATTTTTTTATAAAAACGACAATCAGCACATGTGCTGTCACAAGAATGTTTTTAATTCACATTTTCGTGTAATCCGAAAAAGCTTTTCAGCTCTGTGTGAATAATTAAAATCTATACAAAATATGGACACAAGTTGGCGTAAAGCAATTCCTCTCGACATGTTGTTTATTTTCATTTAAACTTTTCGGGCCATTAATTAAGGCCATTTTCTTTAATGTCTTTCTAATTTTTAAACTAAATTTTGTATGGAAAAACCAAATTAATTTTTGCTGAAACAAAAAAGAATTTAAGATTTCTGCGAAATTAAAGTGTGTCTAAACATAACATATACAATGGTTATACGAATAGTTTTCTTGATTTATGTTTCTATTAAAATTGATTAATGGTACACCAATTTCATTAAGACAATTTCTTGACCTATGTATGTTTCTATGAAAATTGATTTACCTCAAGAGCTCCTTCATAAATAAACTTCATAGATATCAACAAAAACAGTACCAAAAATATTGAATGCAACTCTACGAAATTTCCCAAAAGGGAAATTGTCACAATTTGACATAAACAATAAAATGTAAACAAATGATTGTAAACAAGCATTGACATAAGCCCGTTATTAAATTTTTGCTTTTATATTAAAACTATTTTATATATAATAAGTTTTTAAATAAGAAGTATTTTTTCAGTTGGATAACATGAAAAGTTTGAACAATCTCCTAAACACCAACGGAGGGCAGCAAATGAATGTAAACTCGATGGTATGTAAATTCATAATTGATTTGTATTTTAATGAAATCAATTATTACTTAAAGAAAATAAAAACAAAACGTAATGCTTGGACTGAGTATAGCGAAATGCATTTCCTAGAGCTGTGGGAAGAAAAACTTCCACAGTTGCGGGGAGTCAGGCGAAATGGACATGTTTTTAAAGAAATGGCCAAGGAACTGAATAAAAGAGGTTTCAAGGTAACCGGTCTAGAAGTGCAGACAAAAGTGCACAACTTCACACAACGATTCAAGTAAGTATTTTATAAATGAAAATATCTTGCGTTTCCCTACACTTTGACTAAATCACTATAAGGTGCTTAATTTCATTTGAAAACACAGATTGGTACGGACACCAATAACATTTCTACCAATAAATATTCATGCGCCACAAATATAATAATGTGTTATCTTCCAATTTCACTAAATTATTATTAACAATTTTTATTCAAATTGGATTTTCTGATTCTTTTAAAACAGAAAGGAACAACAAAGCGATGGGGCTTCAGAACAAAAACCTGCATGGAAGTATTATCATACTGTGAAACAAATTTTGACTAATCCAAATTTGAACGCCACCACATTAATGTGCGATAGTATTGCAGGTAATTTATTTAACATTTAATTAAATTTATCAAATTCATTTTTTTGTTGTTCATTTAGAACAGGGCACATCATCAAATGCCACCACATTGATGTCGCAAACAGAAAAAACAACGCCATCGTTACCTTCGCCCACACCAATGGATCCCATTTCAGATTCAGACAATTCTGATCACTTGCCTAGAAAAAAAAGGAAGTTAAATTGTAATGATAACATATTAGACGAAATACGAAAGGTGAATAATATGGAAAAGGTGCAGATGGAGTTACAGCAGGAAACAGACTCAGCATTTCTGAAAATAATGAGAAGAAATGCCGATTCTTTGCAACGGATAGCAGAAGCAATCGAAAGAGTGGAAGCTAATATAAGGATTACCGGAAATCATTAATATAATTAATATTGTATTGTATTTGAGTGGAGAAACGAAAATTATTGTAAATATTTTACTATTATATGTCACTCTTAACATTAATATTTTAACATCATAATTAATACCAATATTTTAATATTATTATTTAAATATTTAAAATTGTAGTTTATAAAATAAAATTAAATCTCCTAGAAAATTATTTGGGTAGTTGGCATTCCGTGCCAAAAGTTTTTGAATGCCTATTGCTTAAAAGTCTGCTGCTTTTTTCAGAACATTTACCCAATCTAAATTTTCATAATTTCTGTTATTCAATAAATTATACAGAACTCGATACGTTTCAGCAATGCTGATCGCCATTTTGATTTTATTGTTGATAACCGTTTCTACCCTGGCATTAAGCTGTGCAAGATCATTTGCAACCACCTTTTGACGCTAACATAATTGATGATTTAATTTTGAAAACGCTGGAAATAGAAAACGGATTCACAGTGGTTTTATATTCACGAACTGCTTTATTAATCATTAAATGTACATTTATTTAGATGTACCGTATATATTAAATCATAAGTATCATTTTGTACAAAACCATTATTTTTCGATTTACAATTGCATTATAAATTAATAACAGTTTTTAATAATAAACTCATTTAAATTACTTTTACTATGACCGTGTGCGAGTTCGAGTAAATATGTAAATATTTATTTATTTACTTATTGCACTTAATTATTATTTTGGTTAAAATTTTGCAAATTTATTTATTTAGTTATTAAACATCTTATAAAATTTCCACAATGGCAACACCTAATTTACCTAATTTTTATCTAATTACCCTACACGAAATTCAGGTAAATACCAACATTCGCTGCCATACCGACATAATTTACTATTTTCCTCAATTAACCATCAATTTACTCGAACTCGCACACCGCCTATATACTACTATACTATAGTATCACTTAAAAGAATGGCATAGAAATTTCACAAATAAAAAATATAAGTTTATGATTTCGTTCTAATATAACATAACAAGTGCATATGTTAATGAACTTGCACAGGAAATTAAAAAAATTTTAAATTCGAACATACGAGTCAATGGCTTTGGGTTAGTTGGCTAATCAACGCTGACTCTGCGCTTTAAGGTACGGCAGGGTACGAATTCAACCATTGGTACTTTTTTATTTTTATTTTTTATTGAGGTTTAACTGTAAATACTCAAATTATTTTTTCACAAAAACCGCTGAGACACGTTCGATAATTAAGTTACAGAAATATAATAGCATTATTATTTTGATATGCTAAATTTGTGCTAAATAGCTAAAATGTTTAAGTTTTTGCTGAATTTTGAATTCGAACAGTCAAGTCAGCTGTTGTCGCCTTTCTACATGTAATTTTGTTTATTTCGACTTTCAGCTCTGTTTATTTATATATTTGGTATATATATATATATATAACTTCAACAAATATTTTTTTGTATTATAAAAATATTAATTATATATAATAATCCTAATATATTTATAACGCACTTACCAACACTTATGAGTGCATAAAAAAATTTCCATTACAAAACCGTACCTTGACAACTCTAGTAATTTACCTTCTGGCATTCCTTTTACTTGCATTCGTTTTCCAAATCGTCACGTCAGTTGAGAACGGAAAAAATTATTAATTATTTTAATATAAAAAGTAAAAAACTTGTGCATTAATATTCATCAATTGATTCGTTGTGTTAGCCATGACTGAAAGTAGTACTTTTCCGCACTTTGAAAAGCCAACTGTGCAATTTAATGAGCATGGCTGGGGCCCATGCGAACTGCCGGACACTTTCAAAGATATGCCGTACCAGCCCTTCAGCAAAAGCGATCGCTTGGGCAAAATATGTGATTGGACCAGTAGTTCCAACAATGACAAGAAGTATCAAAGTAAGTAAAAAATATGAAAAATTAAATAAAATAACTAAATATGTTTATATTAAGCAATTGCATTTGTAAAAATAGTAAGGTTATGTTGCAATTGACAACTATAAATAATCGTGGCAATCAAAAAAAAAATACCTTTGGGAAATTATTTAATAGTTTTATGATTTGCGGATTGGTTGTCAACAAAAGTGCGAAATAAAATGTCAAAAGCGTTTGTTTACATTTTTGTTCAAGCATATTTAGCAAAATTTCAGTAAAAAACTAAATTAAAAAATTGAAAAACTGGTATTTTATAAAATACATATGTTTTTTAAATATTTTAGATAAGTATGCTTCCACATTTGGCACTGGTAGCCAATATGCTTACTACCATGAAGAAGATGAAACAACATTCCATTTGGTAGACACTACACGCGTACAGAAACCACCACATCAACGTGGCAGGTTCCGCACCAATTTGCGTAATTCTAGGTAAGTCTATACATCATCTCTATTAATATGTGTATTAACACAGATTACAATGTGATTTAGGAATGCACGTGGTCGCAATACCCGTGGTGGTCTTAGCTCTACAATGACAACTTTAGGAGGCAAAAATCTTAAAGCACGCGATACTCGTCGTGGTATGGGTAAGAAATTTGGTTCACGTGGTGTACCACCTAAAATACGTGAATCATCTGTGGCAGTGCGTGCGGATTGGACGTCGGTTGAGGAAATGGACTTTCCACGTTTAATGAAATTGTCTTTACCGAATATTAAAGATGGTGAAGATATTGTTACTTGTGGTACACTTGAATACTATGATAAAACATATGATCGTATTAATGTGAAGAATGAAAAACCATTGCAAAAAATCGATCGCATCGTGCATACTGTTACCACTACTGATGATCCTGTTATACGTCGCTTATCGAAGACAGTGGGCAATGTTTTTGCTACAGATGCTATTTTGGCGACCATTATGTGCTCGACACGTTCCAATTATTCATGGGATATAGTCATTGAGAAGTTCAGTAAGTGATAATAAAATATAGTTTTAGAAAATATAATCTTTTTTTATGAATGCAGTCTATACTACGTTATACTTTAAATTCCTTTATTTAATTTAAATAGGAGTATATATTTTATAAATATTATTTAAACTTACTTTTAGAAAATTATTAGACGACCAGTCTTCTAAGATTGTTATACTTCAATTAGAACTATTTTTATCATTTTCAAATTTAGATACATTTAGTATTTTAATAAATATTAAAGGCTTTATGTAAACGAAATAGAAACGTTTAGCTTCTTATTTTAAATGCATCTATCTATAAATATCTATTTAATATATATATTTATAAATCTATTTAATATATATATTTATATACTGATGGAATACATATATATGTATATACTTATAAAGTGTATATATTTATACAAATAAAAAATTTTAATATTTTATTAATTTACAGATGACAAGATCTTTATGGATAAACGTGACAACACGGAATTCGATTTGCTTACAGTAAATGAAACTTCTGTCGAACCACCAACTGATGATGATAACTCGCCAAATTCTCCACGTAATTTAGCCATTGAAGCAACCTTCATTAATCATAACTTCAGTCAACAAGTTTTAAAAACCGGTGAAAAGGAGCCAAAATATAGATTTAAGGAAGCAAATCCTTTCATTTCTGAAGATGAAGACGTTGAAGTAGCTAGCGTTGGTTATCGTTACAAGAAATGGGATTTGGGCAGTGATATCGTAAGTATTTTTATGCACGTGATAAAATTCACATTCCCATAAACACTGATCTAGTACGTCATACACAATAGTTCATGAGTAATCAGCTTTATTGTATTTAAAAAAATTTCATTGTAATTATATTCTTTACAATAAGCGAAGAAAAATCATTATTGCGAATATTCACTGAAAATAATTAAATATTAACTCGTGACAAATTAATATAATATCTTTGTTTACTCTTAGTTTCATTGAAATTAATTGTTATGTGTCATTTTAGGTACTCGTTGCTCGTTGTGAACATGATGGTGTGCTTATATCTCCAAACGGTGAACCTCAATTTTTATCTATTAAAACACTTAATGAATGGGATTCTAAATTGGCTAATGGGGTTGAATGGCGTCAAAAATTGGACACTCAACGTGGTGCTGTTTTAGCCAATGAATTGAGAAATAATGCTTGCAAATTAGCTAAATGGACTGTACAAGCTGTTCTGTCTGGTTCGGATCAATTGAAATTGGGCTATGTTTCCCGTATTAATCCACGTGATCCTTCACGTCATGTCATACTTGGTACTCAACAGTTTAAGCCACACGAGTTTGCCACACAAATTAATTTAAGTATGGATAATGCTTGGGGTATACTGCGTTGCATAATTGACATTGTTATGAAGCAGAAGAATGGCAAATATTTAATTATGAAGGATCCAAATAAGCCAATGATTCGTTTATATGATATACCTGATAATACCTTCGATAGTGATGGTTCCGATGACGGCGAAGGTGATGATGGTGAAGCTTTCCAACCTGTTTATTCATATGGTAACAAATAAGTTATTGTGGTTAGGCGTTTTTTTTTTTTTTAATTAATATCAAAAAGTTAAGTAATTGCTTTAGCGTGTTTTCCAATCTAAACAACACAATAAAAACGTCAACAGTTATTTTATATTTTATTATAAGCAAAACTATTAATTGCATTGTATACTAAAAGGCATAAACTAAATTACGTGTATATGAAAATACGCAGTGCATATTTAAAACAAATAAAAAAGTTTTGGATACCGCACAAATTAAATGTGTTTCTATTAAATTTAAATATACATATAATATATATAATTACTTAAAATAAATTGGAGTTGTAATAACCGAAAAGTCAGTAGCTTTAGACAGATCCAAAAAAACGAAAATTGAATAATCATGTCGTTAAATAAAAGGATTTAGTATTATACTTTGATTAGAAATTAGGTACCGAAAATGACGACATTTTATATTCCTAATATGAGGAGATCAGATAAAGGTAATTACATATAAATTCTCTATTTTCGAACTTATTTTTAAATTTCTTTGAATTCTTAATATTCTATTCTATTCTATTAATTCTTAATATTCTAATATTCTATTTATACTTAAAAGTGCAATATTTTTTACATCGTAT